ATTTTCTATGTATATTATTGAGAGATGAGGATATCTCTTGAGGGGATGAGGATTTTCCCTGCATACCGATAGTTCGACGGTGGTCGGCGCGTTACATCCGGTACGGAGACGTGGCCTAAAATGGCGTCTCCGTGCTTCCTAGCTCTTGTCCAAACGATGGAGGTATGTATGGTCTAATACACCTTCTCTCTGTCCTTCGATTGGTGTGTAGGCGTAGAGTTAAGCCTGATTCGATAAACGAAACCCTAGCTCGCTACGCACTGCTCGCAAGATGAGAAGTTTTAATCTTTGTACAAGCACGAACGAAAATATTCCTTACATTGACAAATGGATCGAGTTCGCCATGTCCAGAAACGTGGAGAATATGTCGATGGATCTTTAATCTAAGCTAGCTTCGGTTATAGACGAGACATCAACTAAAGTAGATCGTGATGTTTGGACTGCCGAGGCGGAGCTGATGGCACCACATTTACACTGTCTAAGATTAATAGACTATCAGTTACCATCTACTTTGGTTGATGTCTCGTCTTTAACCGAAGCTAGACTGGACATTTCCTTTGGCGGCTGATTTTCTCCAAGTCATGACACTAAAGATGTTAGAGAAGCTGCAGAATGTAGAGAAGCTTAGTTTTGGAGAAGATTTTCTTCAGGTATGTTCTGAACCATCTATGTTATATGCACACTCTCTTAGAACTAACAAGTCATACGTTTTTGGTATCTCTTTGTGCTTTTTGTTAGATCCTATCTCTTGCCGAGCTCCAACGTGTTCCTTTTCCAATGTTCAACGACAAAGATTTGACGTTTAAGACAATGGTAGCTCAATATGCAATCCCTGGTATGGTAAGGGTGCTAAAAAACTCACCTGAATGAAAGAAGCTAACAGTACACATAAAGGATCGTGGCACCAAAACGGTAAATTTACCATAAACATCTTTTAATTCGTACTATTTCCTAGCTTGGATAATCCAAGAACCATGTCATTTTCACTTTTAGTTTGTAGAATCTAAAATATTGACAATCTATTTGCATTATCAAAAAAAATTTCTATTGTACAAGAGGATTATATTGAAAACTATTTGAATTTGCAAGGCTTGAATTCGGATCAGTGTTGGAGCTCGCAAGTGGAGCTCTTTGTGAACATTATCCCTAAGAATGTAGAGTCGAAGCATGTGGTTTCGTTCATACAACTTGTGCTTAAAACCACAAAGACAATAGAGAAGATGGTCGTGAGATTAAAAGTTTATCTTCAAGGAAGAGTTTTTGAAGAGTTGCTTGTGATGGCTCCAATGCTTTCCCGCAACAACAATGTCTCCATTGTGCTTAGGAAATAATCATGACGTTTATTTATTGGATTACATTTTTGAATTTGAATATTTTCTCTTCGTTATTTTAAACACTAGACTTGGCCAATCTAGGACTTACGTAAATAGCCTATCAATTATAGGTAATGGGCTATACTTTATAGGCTCGGCATTCGGATATTCGGTACGGTTCTGGAAATTAACCGATCAGTTTCAGAATCCATATAGAAAATAAAATTGTTTGTTCGGTTTCGAAATTCAATATAATACGCTGATAAGCACACACCACAACTAATAAAACTCACATAACTCAAGTGTTCCAATCTTTCTCAAGTTTTGTTTCCAATCAGTATGTGTCATACTTTTACTTTCTCCACCCAACTTCAATCGGTTGAGTTATTTGAACCAAATTTAATCTACCTATTTTCGATTATAAATTCAGATTTTCATTGCAACAATTCAACAGTTGAATTTTTTATTTCAACAGTTCATTCTAGATAGCCTAATAGCTATAAATGTTAACTATGTATTATAAAATTGATTATACAATGGTACTATGTTTCATAATGATGATTAATGGTCGTACCAAAATAATATCAAAATTAGAAAAATAAAATTTCTAAAATTTTGACTATTTTTACTTTCAAAATGTGTGAAATTATAAAAATGATAATTCTTTAGTTTGTGAAATTGTAATGTTATTTGCTAATTTGGAATTTTATTGAGTGTTATACAACCCCATTACCTGACAATTAATATTTCTAAATACTTCTTTTCCATATATATGTTATGTCTTTCATTGTTTTCCACTTTAACAAAATATTTTAGATACTGATCGTTTAATAGTATGGTATCAATTTAAAAATATAACTACCCATGCATCATCGTTTGGTTATGGATCTCTTAGATGGCCTCTTTTGTTTGGAACGAAGATTCTTGTAAATTGAGATAATGATCGGCCACACACAGTATGACGACATATGTATACATATATGCCATCTCTTTAACTAAATTCCATGAATTCTTAACAATCCAATAAAACATTCCATAATAAGCTACATATCTAACTATGAGGACATTATGCACTGTGGTGAAAATTATATCTCTCGTGTGGTCATATTGATAAATCCACTAAAAAGGTATATAAACAAAGATCAACTTATGCAACTAATATGAAAAAAAATTAGTACAAAATTGAGTCAACTTGCGTTATTGTTTATGGTGTAGTCTATTAATACATCGGTCTTTGGAATGAATGTTGCAATGGGTTGACTTCTTACTATTTTTTCAAGATCAACATCTTCAAAATCAGTCAATTAAGTGAAACTATATACATATAAACATTAAGTGAAGAGAAAAAATTTTATTTCCCTTGATTAGAAATGAAAGTTTTCATTTTTGATTAAAAAATGAAAGCTTTTATGGAAGAAAACGAAAGCTTTAGGTTTGTAGTTCTTTTTTATAAAAGAACATATATCACCATTGAAAACCCAGAAAAAAACAAACTAATAAATGTAAAGGTTTTATGGTATAAACTCTCAAAATGAAGAGTTCAATGCATCTAAAACTGACATTGAAGACAACATAAAATTATATCAAAATAGGTATATAGTAACATATTTTAAACCCAAAACTATTAATCTATCATTAGACATAAATGGTATGTAAGTACTAAATCCCTTTTTCATACATAACATAAAAGGTAAATACAACATAAAATATAAATCAATCCCAATATTCAAACCAATTCCAGTTCTCTACATCTTTTCTGTAGCTCTTTTGACCTCCTAGGATGAGAAACCAGGCATTGCAGCATTTCAAGTCATTCACAATTCCAACATCCGCATCTTTTGTGAATTTTTTTTTGACCTCCTACGATGGCAAACCATGATATTGAAGCCCCTAGATCGAAGATTCATAACTGGCTTACTGAAATCACTATCGCTAACAATACGAATTATTGA